TGGGTGACCCTTGGGTCCCCTCCAGCTCAGGGGATTCTGTGGTCACACCCAGAGTAGGAATGCCAGATTTCAGCCCTTGAATTAATAGAGCTGACCTTGTAAATGCACAGGTGTTGTACATCCATATCGGTTCATAACGTTCTCATCACTTACATGTTCCAAGATGAGGTTTTTTAGTGTTTCACTGAAGTTTTGCAGACTAGTCACACACTCAGTTCAGCAGGGAACTTTACCTGAAAGGACTGTCACCTGCTGGTGTTCAGGTACACTCTCTGGCTCAGCAGACCACACTTGTTCAAAGCTCTTACAAAGCCTTTTGCAAAACGTATTTGGGGATAAAGACAACATACATGGATGTGAGAGAGCTGGAAAGGTAAGCCTGAGGAGCCTCCTGTAGCTTTGTATTTATGTGGGTAGTATACCCTGGTGTTGGTGCAGAAGTCATTGTGAAACTAAAGCCTCCTCTGCATTATGACAGAATAAAATCCCAAGTTTCCTCTTTTGAGAAATTCCTTTGGTAATGCAAAGCCTTCGGTTTTGTGTGAAGGGTAATCTGAGGGCAAACATCCCTTCTGCTGGCCCGAGCCTGCGGGGATGAGCCTGGCACGCAGGCTTTTCATGCAGAGGAGGAGCTACAGGGAGTTTGTATGGGCCAAGCTGTCTGGGGAAAGAGCCCAGGTCCTGCCAGGACTGCAGCCGCTCTTCCCCAGGCATTTTGCTGTCCCACTGCCAGGCTGCTGTTTTCTCACCTTATTTAATGTTTTATTACACATCACGGAAGGGACTGCAGGGACACTTGAGAGAGCCTTGGGGTTCTCACGGGCTTGCACAGTGTTTGTTTTGCAGGTGAAGGAGCACCCACAGGACCGAGGGGGTTCTCTGTGTGTTTCCAAGGCTGTTTTTGTTTTCCTGTCAGAACCTCCTCAGACTGGTGGATCCCTAGTGACTGTAACGCTATGCCTGTGAATATGCACTGAGTGTTACCTTTTTAATTCTACCTCATGATACGCTGTGTTTTACACCAGTATTGTGCTGAGCTTTGGACACTCACCTTTCTGTACAGAGGACCATGACCCCCAAGTGACAGATGTGTGACAGATGTGTGACAGATGTGTCACCACCGCTCCTTTGACAGCACCTGTGGTTGGCTGGCAGGCCCTGCCTGGCCTGGTGGAGGGGTTTGGTCACCTTGATGCTTTTGTAGCGTGTCCAGCAGATGCATAAAATGACAGAATCTGTACATGTATGCTGTAGAAATGTTACTTAGTTTTTCCAATGACATTTGTAATAAGTTTGAATTAGAGTAAGTAGGTAGTCTTAGATTTTGGTCATTCGATTGATTACTCCTTTTCAACAAACTTGGAAGTTTTCCATGAAGGCTTTACCATGTTTTACCTGTGAAGGTCACTTCTCAGTGACTTACAGCTGACATGCCTCACAGTCATGTGGTGGTGCAAGTGTTTTCAGTTCTCTCTCGGTAGCATTACTGAAACAATGAAATTACGTGTTGGTGAGCTTTGGGTTATTTCTAGGTAGTCAAACAAAAAAAAAAAAAAGCTTATCTTCTAGTTGTGTTTCAAAAAACTGAATGCTCGACCTCGAGAAGTGTACAAAACTGTGAAACATCTGTAAGGAACCATTTCCAAGGGAGGAAGGACTGCGCTGGCAGAGGGGCGGGCGGCTCACGGCAGGGC